ATCCTCCACATCCTCTTCATACGAAAAAATGAAGACAGGGCAGTTTCAAGGCTCACAGACAAGGTGGGAAAAGAAATCTGGGAGTATGTCACGAGCTGATGGGCAGGCTCCAGCTCCTTTAACATTGAGTTTGGAACCAATGCTTAGAACTTACCTCCCACAAAGTATATTACAGGAGTATGGTAGGAATATTATAGACTGCTGATTTGCCAAATTGCTACAGATAGTATTTTGGAAGGTGGTCTGAGGGACCACCTTAGTACAGGAGCAAGTATACCTATAGTACCAAGGCATCTTGATAAGTCCACCAGGAAAAATGGAAGGTGCAGAAGGCAGTCCCTATCCAGATACCCTTGACTTCAGTAGTCTCCTATGTGGCCTACATATATTATAGAGTCAAATCATCTAAACACTGCTAAATCTTTCTGGAAAAAAAAAATCAAAACCACAATCCCTATGGGAAAATCTTAGTACTTAGAGAGAGAAAATGAAAGCTCATTCACACAAGTGTGGCAGCTCTGGACTTTATAGATGTCATTCAGCACAGGTGCCATAAATCCCCATACTAAAAACCAAGACATGTTGATGTTAACACTGTTTTATTTTTGCTTTCTCACTTGTCAAAATCACAACAGTAAACCAGACTCCCATAAAATATTCAAATCCTATATAGAGCCATAATTCTTTGTGAACACAGAATAAGCAACTTTTGCATGACCCTGTTTGGAAGAGACTTATTTGGAACAGGAGCCGTCATCATGCTAATACTCTGGTTACTGCTCAGTAACATTTTATGCAACTGTGTGTTAGTCAGTTAGGTAGCAAGAAAGTTATAGGATAAAAACCTCCAAAAATGTAAAGAGGACCAGCTGAAGCCAGGGAAGCCGCATGGTGGAGTGCCACCAAGTCAGTTCTCTCCCTCCCAATCCATCATTTCTGCCATCATTTCTGCTCACCATCTCTCCTCTCTGTGGGCTCCTGTGCCCAACTGTCACAGCCAGCCTGGGGACACTTTGTTGTCACAGTGAAGCAGCTGGGAGCCAAGCTCTTTCTTCATGAAATTGCAGCATGGCTTAATATCACAGCACCAAGAGGAGGGCCAGAAACCAGGCACTTGGTGAGTTTTCTGAGTCTTCTGTTTGGCTGTATTTCTTTTCTCTTTCATTATGTACGTCAGGTGCTAAACAAATAAAATCAATTCTCAACTTATAAAAAGCAATTGGAAATGTCTAGTCTTTTATAGTGAAATCTCAACTGCAGCAGCCCACAGCACTTGGAGAAAAATCAATCATCATTTCCATCCCACTACGTGTGCTACTAAAATTAAGAATTGATGTTCGACTGCAAAGGAAAATTATTTCAAGAGAACCACCTTAGCAACAGTTCTTAGCATTCATAAAACTCCTGTTTATGGTTCTTCTCATAACAGACAAACTCTTACATCCCGCTATGAATTACAAGTATTAATGGGTGATCATGATTTACATACAGTTTCCATCTTAATGGATGTCAAAAATGCAGGCAGGGCAACAGCACCACTTACGGCAATAGTAAGCAGTAAACAAGTCATCAGCCTAAAGATGTCATAAACCGAAGTGTTAAACGCCCCAGTAATAATTACACCCTCCTCCACATCCCAATGAAACTTCATTTTATTTAGCTAGTGGCTTCTTCATAAAGACAGGATGCCTGACGAGCTGGAAAGAGAGACATCTGAGGAAGCACTTAAGTGTGATGTGGCCTAAATATTTTAGTACTGTGCAATGTCCATTTGAAAGCAGTTCTCTCCAGATCTTGTTTGGTTTATTGCATACAGGCCTATGTAACCTGAAGGATCCCAGGAAATGTGCACACCATGTTAAATGTTCCTCTAGTGTGTGCTACAGCCCCACCAAAATGCACCCATTTCTTAAGATAATTCCTGTTCCTCTAGCAGGATCTATTTTCTTTAACAGTAAAGCAATTGCCATTTGCAAGTTGTTCTTGATTCTCACATCAGTGCCATGCAGCATCATTTACCCCAGACTGTCCCACATGCCTACCTGAAACCCTGAAGACGTCCTTCTCTCTGCAAATGAAAGCTGCTCTTGGCTGGGTTTCTGCAGCCAGTTTTCTCCAGCTCTGTGTGGTGGAGGTTGTGGTGATAACAAATTTGCTTGGCTTCTGTGGGGCTTAAACTGGGTCTGCAGTTCTGTGAGGAGACAGAGCAGCCAATGCTTAGGAAGCCCCATGTCCAAGACCATCATCGGTCCTGGCCTCCATCTGCCTCCCAGACATTCACACTGGGCCTGCGGACCTGAACCCTCCCAGGGAACACAGCAGCCTTAAAATCCCTCTCAGAGATGATGAGCACTGAACCAAATGCGGCTTTTCCACAACCAGCTTAGTTTTAACCACCTGTTCCTCACAGCCACTGCTCTGCTTGCTCATAACCATCCCCACGGGAGAGATTCAACATCATTTACACTGTCCTCCACTGCTGAGCTCCTGCTTGGGTCTTTAATACCCACCAGCTCTTGCTGGTTGAGAGACAGAAAGCTCTTCTGTGATTTTCAGCTCAAATCTGTTACAGAAAGGAGCAACATTGTCTTCAAATATTAAATATTTGAATGCAATATTTCTATATTAAAATATTGTATCAGCACTTAGCAGGGTGCAGTGACTAATTACCATGCTTCAAGCAGTGTTCGTGGTTTTGCAACTGTGGAATCTGCCTCTTTCACAGCTCTCCGTCTTAAGTTGGTGGGGAGAAACTGCATGGCTCTGCTTCTGCTGTGCCCTCCTGTTTTTCTTTCAAGTCACATACCCCATCTGCTTCAAAAATAGTTTAGTCAACTTTTAGAATTCAATAACTGACTTTGATAGAGAAATTACTGTTCCAGTACATGGTAAATGACAGCGGTCTAGAACACTGTTAAATTTAAGTCTGGAAAATGAACTTTAATAAAATGTGTTCCAATAACGTACTGTGACAGCTTTTAGTGAATTCAGCACCAATACTTTGACTCTCCCAGGAACACAGTGAGATATATTCGAGCAGCCTTGAGCCTCAGAATAAGAAAGCAGACAGCTTTATGATAAATAGCCCTAGAAACCTAAATTACAGCTGCAGCAAATGAACAATATGTTGGAATTACTCGGTGCTTTTTGTTGCAGCCCGCAGAGCTGTGGACGGCGTCTCCGCACACGGGTGTGCACTGACACCTAGCGGGACGGTCCCGGGGAGGGAACCAGCCCCTCGGACGGGCCCTGCATCACGGAGAGTGCACGGAAAGACGATGATGCCCTCCCACTGCCTCTCCATCGTGTGCTGCGAGGCATTCAGGACATGAGTCTCGCAATAAAGTGCATTTTTTATTTATTTGTAAGAAAAATTAGCCCCCATTGTTGCTAAACACTGGCATGATGTGCTAAAATATCGGGTTATCTGTGGACCTTTTTGTCCTGCGAGCTGTTTGGATTTCTTCAGGCTGCACCTTTGCCTGCCCAAAGACCAGATTGTCACCCCCCCTTGCTGCCTTTTTCCCTGCCAGTGTCCTGTCCCACATGCTTGTTACATAAGGGCACGGACAGGGAAGAATGCAAAGGATTTACTGTGGATCAGTCAAAGGTTAGTGATGTTTAGGCAGCAAGATGGCAAAGAAATGTCAGACGAGGCTACAATATAACCTGCTAGTGAAGCAGCAGTGTGCTGAAACTCAGTGCAATCCCTCCGGAACTGTGTGAAACTTCGTTAGTCTGGATAAGCCTGTACTCCTATGTGGGACTATCTGCCCTTCTGCCTTCTCTCCCGCAGAGAGCGGCTGCTGCTAGCCCAGTGTTACCAGCAACGGTACCAACCGCCGCGGAAGGACCTTTGCAATACAAATGCTCTGCTGCTCAGCAGCTAAGAGGGTTGGTGCTGCTGCTGCTTATTGAAAAGAGAAAAAAAAATACTGTTCATGCATCTTTGGGGGCTTCCGGAGCTCTAAACCCCTCCAAGCTGCTTAATATCCGCACAAGTCAGATGTCCTGGAACTTTGCGTGAGCCAGCCCTCCCTCTCAGCCCTCCGGACCTAAACTCGGAGTAAGGAGGGCTGGGAATATGCAGCTGGAGAGAGCCTGGAAGGGGCTTCCTGGGGTCCAGCCCACAGGACGCAAAAGGGAGGATCCTCAGGAAACCTTTCAAGAATTTGACGGAGAAAAGTGGTTTTTTTAGGAGAATTTTTACAGAAGACAGAGATACAGGCACCAGATAGAGCGTCAGCCGAAACAGGGCTCACTCCTGCCTCACATGGACTCCTCCTGCCCCCATACATAGAGGTAAATATACACAGACACATAAGTACGTACATGTGTCAGACACATACGTGTGTGTGTGTGTATATATACACATTTTAAACATGTATATATACATGTATATACGTATATGCGTATATACACGTATATGCGTATATACACATATACACACACACCCATGTGCACATATACATATATACATATCCTTTATATATGTGTATATGCATACATGCATGTATACACATGTACATATATACACATATATGTATATACATATACACATGCTTTATGTGTGTATGCATACCTGTATTCATATATACACATGTATACATTTGCATATATACACATCTATATGCACACATATATATGCACACGCCTTATATATGTGTATATGCAAGCGTACATATGTACATATACACACATATACATATATGTACACGTATGCACCTATATATATATAAAGCGTCATCACGCTAAAGAGGGTGGCAGAGGGGAGCTCTCTGTGGAGGGAGGTGGTGAGAGCGACCGCAAGGCGGCAGGGCCGGACGGCACCCGCTTGTCCTTGTACCTGTCCCCGTCCTTGTCCCCGTCCCCGTCCCCGTCCCG